TTGCTTTCAGGGTTAATAAATCACTTAGCGAGTGCTAAACTAATATATTTACATGTTCTCCTCCCACAAGACGCACTTTTGCGTGTAAACGCCCCATATTGCATATTCATTGCAGAAAAGGTACTAAATGGATAAGAGGCGCTATTTAGCACGTTTTAAAGACCAAATCCTTTTAGCACGCTGTTGATAGATCAGTTTGTACATTTTTTAGCATGCGCAGTGAAATAGCTCACGTTTTTATACACGCAAACCTTTGATAGATCCGGCCCTGAATGTAGAGAGCAGCCTGGGATCAGCAGTTTTTCACACTGAGCAAATCAGAGCTCATCAAAGCAGCTCAGATGTCTTGTAAAAAAAAAAAAAATGAAAACAAAGCAAAACCAAATTAATCAGTCTGACTATATTTTTTTTTCCTGCAGTTTGTTCCCAATTCATAAACGTGATTATAAGGGAGTGGTTTTAAGGGAGGAGCTCCAGTTTTATAAATAGGCTACAGGTTTATAATATGATTTTATTTTGTATTTATTTCGATTCCTTACTAACTTCCAGGCAGCATTCTTACTGCTGTTTTTTTTTTTTTTTTTTTTTTTTTTTTTGAGATGGAAAGCATATAAGAATTAAATGCTAAAATTAAAATGTCAAATAAAATATACTTTTATAAATACTTCAGACTGAGAGAGGAACTCGTGGTACCAAAAATTGCCCAAAGGGAAACACAAGTCAGAAAAGTCTGTTACTTTTCTGCAATTAGCCTTCTCCTCCAGCGCCTTTCTTTTTTAGTCTTTCTTCGTCTCTCCGCAGCCTTCCCTCTTCCTTTTACTGCGTGCATAGACCGAGTCTATTGCCTCTTGCACCGCTCGCTACACGTCACACACCCCCTCTTCCATACGCTGCTGTCTGTGTCCCTCCTCAAATAAAGCCAAAGTAGGCTGGTCCGTCACTCTTTATGAGAGGTGCGCCCCCGCTGCGCCGACAGATAAAAAAAAAAGAAAAAAAAAAGAGACAGAGAGAGTCCTCTGAAGGGAGTAGTACACACCGTTGTAGAAAATCTTCAATTTATTAGCAATTTCTCGCACAAGAATAGACTGTCGAGTTTTAGATGAAAGTTCTCTTTTTCTGGCCATTTTGAGCGTTTAATTGACCCCACAAATGTGATGCTCCAGAAACTCAATCTGCTCAAAGAAAGGTCAGTTTTGTAGCTTCTGTAACGAGCTAAACTGTTTTCAGATGTGTAAANCTGCTAAAAGCAATGAATGGAGCAGGGCAGGATGCTGTTCTTTCTTTTTGCAGTCAATAAACTGATAACAGCAAAGAAAAGAAAAAAAGAATCATTTTTACTTCACTGATTGTATCTATAAATTGTATTGAATTGTGTTCTTTAAATCTCACTAAATTCTTAACACACATATATATATATATATATATATATATATGTATATATATTTATATATCCATTGCAGTTCTTCCTTTCCTGTTCTACTTAACATTGCAGTGTTCATAAAATCTGCAATACTCCCTGCATGAATTATAATAAAGCTATTTATATACATGATAAAGCCGAACACTATGGCGATAGCCGTACTGAAGCAAACCAATTGTAACTAAAAAAAACTAGGATCGATGCCAAAAAATCAAATAAATAGAAAGAAAAAAATCCAGTACTGGCGCCGCCATTTTGTAGTTTTTTTCCTTGAAGCCTACACTATAATGTGAGTCAAAAAAACTACATGACCCAAAAACCAACACTGCTTCTGCTCTGAGTTTTTCACCCGCGCTCAAAAGAAATTCAGATTCAATGAATTGGCAGAAACCTTATTGAAGACAACAAGAATGGGAGTGGTGCAGGAGCGGGAGTCATTCTGAATGGGAGCGGGATGGGAGTGGGAGTAATTTCACCAGGAGTGGGACGGGACAGGATTTAGATTTCTACTCTGGCCCGGGATCGGGACGGTACACAATTCTTTTCTGTGGGAGTGGGACAGGACAGGAGTGAAAATCCACTCCCGTGCCAGTCTCTAGTGCATACTCATTTCAGAGGCAGTGAAAAAAAGTCAGGAAACATCTTCAACAAGACGGTGCCCTAAAAAAGAGGACTAATTTCACTACGGACAAGATCTGCATCCTATTTGACTTTTGTCTTTCGACAGCCTATTTCAAGTTCAGGGATAATTTTTGCAGACTGAAGCCTGGTTGTGCCATGCAATCTCCTGTGTCACCAATTGCAGCCAATCTTTACATGAAAAAAATGGAAAAGAGAGCTTTGGAGACCTTTTGGGGAACACAACCAAGGCATTG